CGTAACATCTTTACAGTGGCTTATATCTGACAGGGCTAGCCTCTGCTACCCGCGCATTTCTTTACTGTCTACTTCAAGAACTTCTGAAGAAGCGTACGCTGAAACTCTCCTTTTTTAAAAGTATGGCCTTGATAGAAAGAACGAAATGACAAGTATTGTAAAATAGCTGCTTCTTCATATACTTATAGGCTGAAGACATAAAATGGCAGATTTTTCCATGATTTTGTCCACATTAGTTGGTTACTGGGAAGAACAGCACCTGTAAAACTGGTTAGTTGTCACATATACGACTCACGTCACGAGTGTTGCCGTTATAAATCTTGACCCAACTCTCGCAGAATGCAATTATAAATTGTGATCCGGGCTGTATCTCATATCAATATCATAATGTCTGGGTTCCCTCTTGATATTGTCACATCTGTGACAGCCCTCTGCCAAGTGACCCGATATAAACTAATATCGATCCCCACCAACTTTTACATATTGCGCGTGATTTCTAATAACTTATTTTATTGCTTGTATTATTGATTGTGAAACTCGTTCGCTCTCCAACTTTTAAATCACTATTTGTAATATGTAATGCGGTGTTGTATTATTGTGTGATATTTGTGAGCTGTATGTGAGCTGTCACACGTTTTTAAGGGGCTTCATAACTTTTAAAAAGGAATCCTTTTTTGATTTCAACAGTTGCTCAAAGATACCGTGCTTGCAGATTCTACCGACAATAGGGTTGGCTTTTAGCCACTAACGTCAACTCAACTTTTCACCATCACGATTAAATTTACCTCCCAAAGGTGAGCTATCGCTTCCCCTAGTCCTACCGTAAGCTCTAACATCAACTGGAATGTCAATGTGACGAAACTGAAAGCTTCTTTAAATAGTTACTTTACTTTGTTATATTCCTGTACAAAAAACAAATTTTCAAATCCTGTGAACAAAATCGTGTAATCGTGTTCTCTCCTGTAAGAATTAACTGGTGGGATGATTTATTCAATGAAAGATGTTCATTCCGATCTACGAGTTCGTTGTTACTTCACTCCACGTGATGCCCATATAAGGAGATACGAGAATACACTCTACTGGTTACTGTAGTTGTTGTTACTTCACTCCCAGTTGCGTGAGCTCTCGAGCACTTCAGCCTCTTACTTTTACCGTTCTAAATATTGGACCAAACAGCCGTGCAAAAATTAGAGAAAATTGTGACTCTAACGGTAAACGACAGTTAATTATTGGTGATGTCAAGGTGTTTGTTAGATTGTTCTCAGTGTAAAGTCTCCTGTTAAATTGGTTCCTCATTAATTCAGGGCAGACGGCGGCATATTTCCAGAGAGAAGTTGTTCTTCTCTCCTCCCTCTCTCCTCAGCTCCCAGTAAGCACCAGGTGCTGAGGTGCTGTGCCAATTAATATCTAGCTACCCATTTTACTACGCCGCAACCACTACACTTTTTACTACGCCGCAACCAATACACTTTTTACTACGCCGCAACCACTACACTTTTTACTACGGCGCAACGTTTTCATAAGCAGATATCTTCCTTTACCCCTAAACTTTAACCCTATCTTTGATGATATTTAATATCTTTTGGTAATTGGTAGGGCCAAGCACCCTCCCCGTTCGCGTTAATTGCTTGTTCGTGACCTCATCAATACTTCTTAAAGCACCAGTGCAATCTTAAACCCATTAAAGCCGGATTAATAGTAATATGATGTGAAGTCCCGAGAGATGTAATAATTTTGAGGTCAACGACCTTCATCAACGTGACGCAGCCATCCCCGACCAGTCATCCTTTAATTTGATTGCACCTTAGTCCCGCTGATATGTAATGAACTTACCTAAATTCAACCTTGCTATCATATTTATGCGTTCATCACAACTGCCCTTACTTTACTTTTGGATTATTGGATTATAGAACAGCTGGTCAGAGACCTTTTAAGTCGGTCCATAACTCTCATTTACGTGCATTTTTTTGTAGAAACTCAATTAAATAGGCTTTTATTTGAGAAACTTCTTGCTCCTTGCGCAATAATGGTGCTGTGGGCTGTATGATATTAGGTTTTACGTGCAGTGGCACTTTTTTATCGTGTCACTCTGTACAGTTAACAGTGCCATTAGTGGGAAGGTGAAGTGCTGGTGAAGTAGTCCTCTGGTTGAGACACGGTGCCACTCCGTGCTAGGGCATCATTATTAGTTCATGTACTGAACACAAACTTTATCGGATACTTGTAAATTTGGATATTTTTTTTATATTGAAAATATTCAAAAAAATTTTATTTCGTTTTTTGCGAAGGAAAATTAAAGTCATTGCTCTATTTTTGCATGTGTCTACTGTCTTACTGCGCGAGAATATCTCACATAGATACTATACCATACTAGCAAACTCGAAATCCGGGTTATTACTAATATTTATTGACGTTAATCGGATTTGCGATAGATAATATAATCAAGGGTGTGAAAAAAGACTCGTGTCTGTATTTAACTAACTTACCAATAATTGATTGATGGTAAACCGGTGCCCGGATGGTTCTAATGACCAATCCATATTGATCCATCAACAGTAAGAGCTTACTACTTGGTACATTATCTCTGTGTCTTTAACGCTTTTTTTTAGGAATCTAGTCCGTGAGACTATTTGCCGTTTGCTTTATTTTGTCTCTTGCAGATCTGTGTTTTTTGTGTTTGTTGAAAATTTATATTACAAAGAAATACATATTTATTATTTAAGCATCAACATTGTTCACAGTTTCATATAATTTTATTTTGAGGGTTCGAGTATCAACAATGGTGAAAGTTTTATTAAAGTTAAGATGAAAACAGAGGCAGTATGTCACCTTAATTAGACTCTCAAATGTCAAGTCTCCAGATATCTTACACTCTGGTTATTATCACTTTCATATATTGATATAATTTTGAATAACAACAATGGTCCAAATTATACAAGAATATACTTTTGAAGGTCAATAATGGTGTCAGCTTGACTATCACTATATCCATAATTTCATGACCTTTGTTTACCATTATTTACCACTATTTTCCATTTTCCCAGTAGAAATGACCTCAGAGCTGAGTGATGTGAGCCTGCTCCCCACAGCTGGGTGGATCTCAGTTCTTGACATTATCAGCGGAGTGGTCTACCTCCTGACTTTCATAATCGGAATAACGGGCAACTCTCTTGCCTGGTTATACTTCTGGAGCAAAGCACGTGACCTCCCCACGCTGCTCTACCTGCTGACCGCTATGAACGATGTCTTCCTCTGTACCCTCCATCTAGCCAGTGGTATTTCAATGCTCAACCAACGGCACGGCATGCTCTTCTCCTACCCTGCATTCTGCAAGTTCTGGGACGTGTCTCATTTTACCTCCGTTAAACTTTCCGTCACCTTGGTTCTTGTCCTCTGTGTTAGCCGTGCTTTTGCCGTGTTCCGGCCACTTCGCCGCACATCCTCGTTCAGCAAGTACCGCATAATGGCCTTCTTGGCTTTGTTCTGTTTGGTGGTCATCGGCATTGATCAGTCCCAACGCTTCCTCAACTGGGGGGAGTCCACATACGTGGCGCACGACGCCTACTGCTGGATGACCGCCATCACTCCAGAGGCAACCACCAACGCTTCACTTGTTGGAAACGAAACCATGGAGGTCTCAAACGAGGACCCTCTCATCTACTTCTACGTGATAGGGGGTTGTCTGCTGGCTCTGCCGATCATACCTGTTTCTGTTGCTAGCGTCATCACTGTTCTCAACATGTCAGCCGCTGAAAAGAGAGTTCGGAGTAATTTGACGGGGACTTTGATAAAACGACACGCTACCGTGACAACCATCCTCTTCGCTATAGCTTACATCATTTTTAACATCCCACTTTTTATAAACTATGTAACCTGGACATTTACTATCCTGTTCAACCTGCCGCTGTTTGAAGTCATTTATGACAACAATATTCCTATTTTTATGTATGCGTGGAACTGGACTGATGTACTTTGTCCGGCCCTGAACTGTATGGTGAATCCGCTCATTTACTACTGGAGGATATCTGGTTTCAGAAGTTGGATCAAGAAAGCGTCGTTATTCTGGAAACCAAGCAGTGAGCATAAATGGACCAGTCCAGTCAGTCACTCTTACTCGGAATCATACTCGTTAAGTGCTAGAGCTGGTTCCAGAAAACTTACAACATTTAACAAACAGAGAACTGAGTCAAGCTTATTCAAACAGGGAAAGCTTGCCTCTCAAAACAGTTCAAACATAGCTGTAATATCTAGTTTGAGCTTTACAAACGGTTCCACCAGCGCTCGATTTGGACATCGTGGATCGTTGCCAACGATAAGAACGAGCGGCAGAATTAGAGCGCATTCAACCAATGCTATTGATGGTTTAAATACTCCGAAGAAAGTAGAATCCTTAAAAATCATTGCCAAGGACACGGACCCACTGAGTTTAAATTCTGTTCTTATCGACAATTCTGTTCTTATCGACAATTCTGTTCTTATCGACAATTCTGTTCTTATCGACAATCAGTAGATATAAAAGATCTTATCAAGAAAATATTAATTAATGTAAAGTTGCTGTCACAAAACAGTTAAATTGATTTTGATCCTTTTACCTTTTTATGTTAACACAGGTTGAATTAATTAACCGTTAATGTTAGTAACTTGATGTTTACATGTATCATTATCCTAGAAGTTCATTTAAAATATCTTTGCTTTTAAATTTTCTTATTAACATTGATCAGTAAGCCCGGCACGGTAGCTTGGTTTCTAAGACAAAGTGGAAGTTTTAAACCAGAAACACCAACCATCATGAATCGTACAAAATAATAATTTGAGCATCATTATTTAGCCCCGAACGCGAATAACTCCAAAAATGAGATGAACAGTTTACATTTCTCGCAGCACCAAACTGAATAAATATTACTGTTCGAAAAAAATCACGGTTATTTCGAGTTCTTATGAAATATACCCTCAAGTTTCAACTTAACCTTACTGTGGCTAACTTAAAGTTTTCATTTCAGCCAGGAGACAAGTTGGATCACCCGCGGACTCTACATGTTGAGCATCACCACTCCAGGGTCACCACCTCCAGAAACAGCAACTGTGTCGCTGATAATGAGATGGATATAGAAGCGCTAGATCACAACTTTGACATCCGGCTTTTGGTAAGTCAGCGGCTATGTTGGTCCTGATAGTACGTGCTAAAGTTGGTACCGTACATCATGGTTCCTCTTAAAATGTTCAGGGATGACCGCATTTTTAATTACTCCTGGGGCCTGTACATTAGGTTATAATGCAGTGAAATGTTTGACGTCATGTCATGTGACAGCACGTCTTCAGTCTTAAATTCTAAATTGGTGCTGCCCTACGTCAGTCATGCCTGAAATTCCTTACCTCGCCAAAGTTCAGTCGTTTCAATTCGATGAGCGCTCGGTATTCTTTAGGTTAACCATCTTTGAATGATAGCGTTCTTGATACTTTATTTTGGTTGCATTGCTATAATTTGTATAAATTCCTATCGATGATTCGATGAATGCGCCCTTTTTTAAGACCAATGAATTTAATTATGATTGGATTGCCATGATTGAAATTTATCTATAAACTTGTCTATAAAAAAGTTAATCTCTACTTGAATCAATGAATCTGCTCATATAATCACTATTACTCATGATTGGTTATCAATAATACTGAATATATTTGATTATCTTTAATTTGATGGAACTCAAAGGGTTGTTGATAAGACTAATTTGATCATATAATAATATTCCTCAGTTGGACAATAGCGAAACGCAGGGAGAAGTTGAACATCTAGATAATTCCTAAAACTCAAGCCTCGCAGTGCTCCATAATTCGGCTACCCGAAGAAATTCCCACTTTTATCAGTTATAAAATATCTATTGAGATGAAATTATCCGTTTATAAACATTTACAGTTTATATTCCCTAGTTTGACGGTTATTTTCTTGACCAATCTCAGTTCAGTTAATTTTGTTAACTGAGGTATTATTACCGCATATTGCAATCATTACCGCGATTGACGATATTTCAGTGGATGCAGATAGCAGCTACCGCGCCACTGCGATTTCGATGTAAGTATTGCCAGCCTATATCGTAGTCTATGAGTATGACACTTGCAATGGTAAAGGCTGCTTATAAGTCGAGAAAAATATCAATCTTTAGAATAATCACAATTTATAGCATATAAATAACTCCTATAGTTTATATTTTCCTTATTAAGTTTATAGCTGTGTTAAACTTTTGTACAAGTTCGGTTTACTTCTAGGTTCGGTTTGTAATTGAACATGTGTAATTACACATTAAAATTGAGCTGCGCAAGCGAACCGAACAAAAGTTTAGCAGCGTAATTCCTATTAAAATTTTGGGTGTAAAATTATTAAACTCTAAAATTTATTCCTGCAAAACTATGTTATTATTTATTTTCAAACTTTACACCAATCTGAAATAGTTAACAATAAACATCCTAAAGATCTGATAAGTCTACAAAGAAGGTCGGAAAAAAGCTTAAAATTATTATTAGATGGCAATAAACTTTAAAACAAAAAACATAAAACGTGTTTAAACGAATGTTACATCTGTTTAAAGTTATATTAGTAGCCATGCCACGCGGACGTAGATACCAGGATGCTGTGATAGTTGTATATAAATCATAATTTCATATTTTGCTAACTTGTACAATGTTTATTAACTTTTTATGAAGTTTATTTTGATGAACTGAAAAAATCATGGTATGATAACGTTTTAACACGATACGGCAGGATATATTGAGCAAATGTAAATGGTAAAGTGCTTTTCGAAACATTGGGGTTTCATTATATGGACGACTCAAGAAATTTCTGCTGAGAAAATACCTTACACAGTTACAGTTTCCCTATACTACATAAATAATTGATTACCTGGGCCTGTTCATATTTGAATTTATTTACCGTTATTGTTGCGCAATTGACGGGTTTAATATTATGTATTACGTTTCATTGTACATATCATTTATTGAAGAATATCTATTAAAATTTTCTCAAATAGATGACTTTATTTCTAGTTCTACCCATAACAAATAACAATGAAGCACGATGCATACCTAAGACCCCCACATACCATATAGTTTGAATATACAATATAGTGACCTACTAGTACTAGTTGAGTACTAGTACTGAAGCCGCTCTTACTTGCGAGCGCAAGAAAATTGCTATCAAACAAGATATACCTAGCCTTGTGTTATCGGTCAGCTATTGAAATATCCGTGCCAAATTGTGCTTCACAGTATACACCTTGCCAAGCTTGCTGGTCAAATTCAATAACTCATTCTGGTAAAAAGGAATTACGTCCAAATTTACTTGGCACGTCAACCCCAATGCGCCTCGCTCTTTTCGGGTTTCTTTACAAGCATACGTGAGAGTTTGAGTAGCGAGCAATAGACTATGAGTATGACGCTAGGTCATAGGTATAAGCTAACGTCCAATTCACAATTAATGTGGCAAAATTACATAATAAGGATGCATACTTAACTCAAACTGTACGTTCAAAATTTGTGTACCATTGTTTTTTAGAGACTGAGAATTTTCACAGTACCAAATTTGTCATACCTTTTTGGAATGATCAGTGAGTTTCGCCTAGGTGCCATATTTGATGGTGCGCGGCTTTTGGAGCAAAATTAACTGTAAAAGTCGCGTAATTTGACGAAATTCGTTGATTTTTGTCGTATTATTATGTCATATCTTCGGTTACTTGGCGGCACTCAGCCTGTCATTCCGCCGAATCTTTATGAACATAATAGCCTGGGGTCCCAAGGTAAATCTTCGGTTCCTTAATTGATTCACGATGTCAATCCTTCGCAGCTCGGTGAGGTCCAGTGGTCAGTGGTGCATCTCGCCGATCTACCGAGAAGAATTATTTGATGCGCGGCGCGGCCCAGTAGTGCATCGCTGATCGCGCTACAAGTTCCTTAAATGAGATCATTCTGAAAATTTGTGAAGACTTTCCAATAGGGCTTTTACAACTGTCCGAAAATTTGGTGGATCTGGATGTCGGAGTTTATATTAAATGATATAGTGATGAAAATGCAGGGGCAAAATACGCTGCTTTTATGTTTTAGCTGTAACATAATGCATAATGTTTGATGGTTGGATATGCTTTAAATTTTTAGGACAGTTTTCTTGTAAATCTATGAGTAAGCTAACCAATTTTTGTTAAAATTGAATCAAGGGAAGGATACTAAATAAGCATTCGTTTTAAGAATTTTGTGCTGGCCTAAATTAGCGCTAAAAAACCATCCTACAGTCGGCATGCGCGGCTCACTGTCGATGATGCACTACTTAACGGGTGATACTCGTAAAATATTTGTTCCAACTCGGCGCGCGTCCTTGTAGGTTTTGTAGCACGTTGTGACCCCACGGTCGTTTCACTACGATACAGGGGAGCCGCGCACTTCTTACTGGGCCGCACTCAGTCTGTCATTCCGCCTAATCTCTATTCGGTTGTTTGCCAACATTAAAGCCTGGGGTCCTCAGGTAACGCACTTCGTGCGCAGCGGGTCATACAACGTATGACAAAATGGGTTGACATCGTCAATCAAATCAAAGTTTTAAGATTGTTCTTAATTAAATTATGTTATTTGCTCTATCCAGAGCCCGTGCGCTTGCAGTAGCGCGCGCCCGCCTCACTTGTGAAACAAGCGCGCCCGAAGTGGCGCGAAAGCACATGGTTAGGTGAATTATGCTATTGCAGTCACTCAGATAGCTTAATTTTACACTTAAACCCTTCGGGGAGGAACATAATTACATTGACAGGACTGAGGACACATATGCTGCCCACAATAAACGGGCAGTGGTGAAATGTACATGTGTGCCGCCCCCGCTAAACATTCTTTCCATCCACTTAAAATATTTTTTAAATTTAAAAAATTAAACGGCTTAGTGGCTCAGTTGGTTAATCCGGGCTTGGTATTGCTTGAGGTACCAGGTTCGATTCCCGACTCTGTCACTAGCCGTGGGGTGAGCGTCGTCGACGCTCAGCTAAGGATCCTGAATGGTCTATGCAGCCCCCGGTCCACTCAGAATAAAACAAATATTTCAGAATAAAACAAATATTATATTCAAATCTCTTTATTCAACAATATTAAATCATTATAGAACCTAATTTGTGGCTTGATCGTTATGTTAGGGCTATTCTGTTAGCTGATGCTGACAGGCACTGCATGGGGCAGAGACTTAGGACCATTACGCTGGAGGCTTACAATGACCCTTTTTGAACCCCATGGCAGTGCTAGTTTTATTATGGTACAAATTGTAAATCGAAGTTATGAAAACGATCAAGTCACTCCTGTTTTACACTATCAACAGCTACTTAAAACAACCTAGATTGTACAACTCACTTTGAAGATTAAACTGTTAAGTGATGAGTGATTGGGCTCATTAAACATTTTAGTAGCGGAGACATGCGGATCAGCTTCTTGAGGTTCTAATAGTTCATTCAGACAAGAAGTTTTATTTTTTCAAATTTAGTCGTTCAAGCTGCCTGAGTTCAGAAAGTTTGCCAAAGGGGCCCAGGTATTCTTGTCACCTTTACCCTGAGACGAGAGAATGACTTTTTTTACCTTTGATTTGAATACACCATGAGTGATTTCAAGGTCGTTCAGTGCCAACATCTGACGGAATGAATTCCAAAGGCAACTAGATTTGTAAACGAAACTGTTTGAGGGCATGGTTGTTATAAGAAGAGTTTCTTTGCCGGGTCTTTTAGACAAACAGAAAAGTTCAAATAGTGCAATTGGTGTTCGATATTTAAAGACTTTAAAAAGTTCATTGCAGCAGTGATACGCGTATAAATTATGCAATGTCATGAGTGATTGACGGGCAAAAATTGGCTTGGTGTGCTCTCTCTCAAAGAATTTGCTGGTAAGTTTCTGTTCACTGATAGGTCTAGTCCTAGCACATGTCATAAATTTATCAAGGTATGCTTTTTTGTCACCAAACATGATACGAACACACTTTTTCTGGGCTACAAATAGTGGTTGAAGTTTATTATTACTTGCACCTCCCCAAACGGTAATGCCATAAGATAGGTGACTTTCAAAAAGTGTGTGGTACAGGTCCTTATGGATAGATGATGGAATTTTATCCTTAATCATGTATAGCCTCCCAGAACAGGACGAGAGTTTTCTAACTAGTTTGTCTCTATAGGGATTGAAAGTTAGGCCTTCGTCGACAATTACTCCTAGGAATTTCGTTTCCTGCACCTTTGAGAGAGGTAGGCCGTTGAGGTAAAGTCTATTTTCAATTAATAAAGATTGATCATCAAGTTTTCTTTTAGCTGTATTGAATTCTATGTAGCAACTTTTCTTGGCGTTAACATGTAATTTATTAGCCAATGTGTACTCGTGGACTGATCGTAGGACCCTATTTGCATTATTGTAGGCCTCTGCTCTAGTTTTGGCAACTACAAATATGTTTGTATCATCAGCAAATAGGACATAGCTAGTGTTATCGAGTTGAGAGTTTGTTAAGTCATTTATGTATATTAAAAACAGGAGAGGCCCAAGGCAGCTCCCCTGTGGAACGCCATAGAGAACAGGAAGTCTGTCTGATACTTCGCCCAGGACGGACACACACTGCTCTCTGTCCGACAAGTAACTTTCCAGTAACTTAAGTGGCACTCCTCTAATCCCATATATTTCAAGTTTCTCAAGCAAAATTGTGTGGTCTATTGTGTCAAAGGCCTTGCTTAGATCAATAAAAATTCCTAGAACATGAAGACCTTGCTTTAGGGCCTTTTGGATGTGAAAAACTGAGTAGTTAAGTGCATGTGATGTTGAGTGACTCTTTCGGAATCCGAATTGACTGTCGTGAAGGATTCCTTGACTAACCAAGAAGCTGTAAAGACGTTTGTATATTATCTTTTCAAAAATTTTACCAAAAATTGGAAGTGTGGAAACAGGCCTGTAGTTCTCAATCAGTTCTTCGTTATCTTTTTTGTATATTGGGGTTATTTTGCCAAGCTTCAGAACTGACGGAAATATCCCTTGAGATATTAGGCGATTAAATTGAACAACAAGAGTTGGGCTAAGAATACCCGATAGTTTTTTGATTACTCTTATGGGAAAGTCGCTAGCTTTCCCACTCTTCAAGTTGGCTATAATCTCAGAAATTTCATCTTCACTACAGTCATGGAAGTAAATTGAATCGAGAGTTTTTGGTGGCATGAATTCGAGGAAAGAGGGAAGAGGTTCTAAAAGAAGGCCATTTTGAGTATTTTCATTCATTTTTGAGGCAATAGAGGCAAAGTACTCATTAAATTTGTTGGCTATCACCCGTCTTTCAACAACACGGACTCCATCTACCATAAATTGGGGTTTGATGGTTTTTTTTCCTTTTCCCTCTTATCTCATTTATTACTTCCCACATCTTTTTGGAACTATCAGAATTTTCAAGAATTTTGTTACAGTTATAGGTATCTTTTTGGTTTTTTATTATCTTTTTAAGACAGCGTCTGTAATCACGAAAAATTTTGTGGAGTTTCAGATCTCCAACTGGCTTGAAGTCAGGGAGCTTTTTTGAGTTCACCCAGTTATCATACAGCTGACCTTTCTTTTCAATTGCTTCAATTATGCTGTCGGATATCCAGGGATTACTTATAGGATTTCGTTTGGTGAGTTTGGGTTTGTCGAGTTTACAACATGAGTCAATAGCTGAGCTAAAAATTTCAAAAAATTTGTCAAATTCAATTGGATTTTCATTGTTTGTTAGTATGCATTTCTTAGATAGCAAGTTTTTTGTTAGTAGTTCAACATTTCGGTTTGAGAAATCATAGCTTTGCAATTGCTTAGGCTTAGGGGAGGTTTTCCTAGAAGTTAAATGACTGATGTCAAAGAAAGCAAAGATTGGTTTATGATGGGAAGAAGTGTCTTCAATAACTCCAGAGAGGGTTACCAAGTCAATCTCATCAGTAAAAATGTTGTCAATGCAGGAGCTTTGGCCTACATTTACTGAGTGAGTGGGACGAGATATAAGAGGAAAGTAACCATAAGAGAGCATAGTGTTCTCGAAATTCTGAACCTGTTTTTTATTACTCTGATTTTTTTTTTTACACTCAGCCAAATACTCGAGAAATCGGGTGTGAGGGTTAAATGAGGAGCTGCCCATTGCAGCAAAGTCTTGGGCGAATAAAGTATGGTACACACTACCTTAACCGTCACTGGCCTAATGTATAATTGAATCCTTCGGCTTCCTGTAATTGGCTGGTTACACACTTGTGTAACAATGTGGCTGTTGGAATGTCCGAAGTAAAATAAGTGTTGAGATAAAAAAAAGGTGATTTTATAGAATACGCAGGTAAAATCTTTTTAAAAAGTGTGTTTCTAGAGCAAAACTTGCAGTTTTGCTAATACCTCAGTTAAGTTTTTCAAAATTATCCCACATTCAAACGACGATTTGGCGCCCCACTAAGATGGCACACAGTGAGGTCAGCGCAGTGCAGTGGGGCCATTCGTTACGCCACTGCCTGACCTGACACCATAATTTAGCAGCCTTAACAATTCCTATAATGTTCAATGGGTCGGTTAACGGGGTCACCTTATCATGTGATTAGGTAAGCCCTTATCACCTGATCACACGTAATGAATAAACTCGTTATGCTTCGTATCTCGGTCATCTGAGAAGCTATAACTCTCATTTTTTCAGGACAAACTTAATTCGAATGGCCAAACACAATTCAATAAAATTTGCCTCGATCCGACTTTCCAAACTATCAAATAATTGCGAAAATGAACCTTCATTTGAAATAATTAACACAAATATTCTTCGATTTGAAAAATTCCTTGAACCAGTGGTGGTAGCGATGGCGTAACGTTGCCTGTTGCCTGTTGTCGCCCTCTCCCCTTTTGGCGCCCATCCCTAAAATTGAACAAATTAGGTGACTGTAGAGGATACGGCGGTAAAATCTCTAAAAAAGTTTGCTTCTAGAGCAAAACGTGCAGTTTTGCTAGTACCTCAGTTAAGTTTTTCGAAATTGTCCCACATTCAAACGACAATTTTGCACCCCCCTAAGATGGCGCCCCCCCACACCCCCCCCCCCCGGCACAGCCGGGTCAGCGGGGCCCTACGTTACGCCACTGGGTGGTAGTAAGTCATACCAGAAACAATAATTTCAATTGGGCACTCATGACTCAGTGACTGAGATTAAGGCCAACGTATGGATACTGACTTTTGCCCCTCCCCCCTGTATACATGTGTATTACTATCACAGTTAACCATCGTGATAGTTATTTTTAATCATAATCATCATATTCCATATAAAAGTGTTCATGTAACCCTGTTAATTTAGGTTCTATGATAAAGGTCCAGAACTGCAGCTTAACACAGTAGATATCTTGGATTATTCTTTGGTGATCAAGAAAACAGCAATTTCTCAAGAAAGCAAAACTCTATCAAATACCATTCTATCAGATCTATGGTTGTGAGTCAGCAAACTAAGCTCCTCTTAGACAGAATACATTGCACCACGTCAGATTTAAAAGAAACAATTTCTCACATATGTGAAGTATTAACACAGACACCAAGCTTAGATGAGAACTGCAGTGTTCAAGTACCTAGTTCGAGTGTTGCAGCTTGCTTAGAGAAAGAACTGATTGTTAAAGCACTGGTTGATGCTAAACAAAATCAATTGAAACAACCAGAAATCTTACTTCTCAAAGAAAAGCTTAAGGATGAATATTTTAATCACTATACACTGTATCAAGATAAAATGAGAGATCTAAAATCTTGTAACTTGACAGACCTAGAGAGCTGTATTGATCCATTCATATTAACTTCCTTATCACAGACTTTACGAACAACTACAGCTTTAGTTGTTGATAATTCAGAGTCCAGCAACATCAACAGTCAAGTAAAGGCTGAATTACTCAAGTCTTATGTTTGTAGACTTGAATTATTAATCAGTGGTTTTTCAGAAAGGAGATGATTGATATTTCGATTGAACTTTTTATTTCATTTTAAATAAATATGAGCTCCATCATAATCTTACACATTCTTTCTAATGATCTACCTTATGGGGATTGGGGATGTTTTGAAGTAGTCATGTTTTACAATTTCCTATTATAAGCTTCTGATGAACACTTTATTACTTAATATAATATACCTCAAGTATTGCCCCTAAGGCAGCTATTTTGCATTTTTTTTGTCTGACTCCTTGAGAAAAATTATTCCATTCATTACTTTATATTGCTTTATCAGTCTTATGAAATGTTACGTTTATTAATTAAACAAAATCAGGGTATGTTGGCTGCAAGGGCTGCTGGTAGGATTCTAAAATCGACATGTCGCCGTTCTTATTCTGTGCTAGCAATTGACGATGATCTTAATGGACTCACTGACGATCAGAAGGAGTTACGAGAAACTGTTAAGGGTTTTGCTCAAGCTGAGTTAGCACCCTATGCTGATGCTATAGACAAGGAGAACAATTTCACTCAGCTCAGAGAGTTTTGGAAGAAATGCGGCGACATGGGATTTCACGGGATAACTTGTCCTGAAGAATATGGAGGTTCACTTTCCCAGATACTAAATTATTATTTTTGAGCATTTCATCAACAAATGAGACGAAATTGCACAATTTTCAAACAAAATAATAAAATCAGCTGTCTAAACTTACTCATTTATGTCAAAGTCTGTAAATATTTGGAAAAGTAATAATGAATTCACATATATCAGGTATAAACATGGGATACATGGCCCACTGTATCGTCATGGAGGAAATGAGCAGAGCCTCAGCTTCAATTGGTCTCAGTTATGGTGCACATTCTAATCTTTGTATCAACCAGCTTGTAAGGAACGGTAATGAGGCTCAGAAGCAGAAGTATCTTCCTCAGCTGTGCTCTGGAGAACACATGGGTGCTCTCGCTATGTCGGAGCCTAATGCTGGTACGGTTTAACATATAACTGGTTTTCATCAAATTGTGTCAAATTGTGTCAGATTTAGATGTGCTTAAAATACAATCTGACTAACACCAATGACAAACTTGCGTGATCTGCAGGATCTGATGTTGTGGCCATGAAGTTGAGAGCAGACAAAGTTGGAGACCATTACGTTCTGAACGGCAGTAAGATGTGGATCACTAATGGCCCTGATGCGGATACTCTCATCGTGTATGCTAAGACTGACATGGCTGCTCACCAGCGTGGTGTCACTGCTTTTATAATCGAGAAGGTTGGTAAATAATTTTCGGATTTATTTATTTTATACGCTGATAAAATAATATAATACATAAAGTTCCTGATATAATAACATACCCTTACATAATGAATTCGAGTCAGTTTCTCCATTAAAATGACGACCTGTTCCAGGGCATGAAAGGTTTCTCAACAGCACAGAAGTTAGACAAGCTTGGTATGAGGGGCTCCAACACATGTGAGCTGGTATTTGAGGATTGCGAGGTTCCGGAGGAGAACATTCTCGGTGCCATCAACAAAGGTGTGATATTATTTATGGAATGTTTACCTTTTTTACTCATTTTTGGATTTGAAGTCTCACTGGTAATGTAATTATGATTTATCTACCATGTGTATTAAGTGAGATTTTGTGATTCCGTCATTGCGGTTATTGTCGTTACTTACGCCGACTTCGACTGTAAAAGTAGAATTCGAGCATAGATTTGTGCAAGCATGCTTATTACGTAAATGCTGCAGCCTTAGATTTTGATATGTACAACGATAATATGTATATTGTATAGTCTGAGGTTAGATTCATGCAGAGACTTATCATGAATACAAGTTAAAAATTGAGTAGAGTTGTAAACTGAAAGTTTGAGAACGAGAATTGCTCGAATATCTCATCCGCTCTACCGTTGTAAGAAATGTTATCCGCCATACGGTTCAACATAACATTTTTTATATCGGATATAGTGAATAGTGATATGTACACGGGAATAAAGTTTTCAGATTACATAGGAAGTACAACCCTACGACTTACAAAATACACAGCTTGCACCTTAAGTTTGAGTATACATTTCTGATCCATACCTGCTGATACAAACCCACTAGACTTTAACCTTAAAACCACAGATCACCTTAATATCAATCATATCATCCAACATTCCTCACACTTAATCACGTGACAATACCCCCGAAGGACTGTACGTGTTCCTCGCACTTAATCACGTGACAATACCCCCGAAGGAGTGTACGTGTTCCTCACACTTAATCACGTGACAATACCCCCGAAGGAGTGTACGTGTTTCTCACACTAAATCACGTGATAATACCCCCGAAGGAGTGTACGTGTTTCTCACACTAAATCACGTGATAATACCCCCGAAGGAGTGTACGTGTTCCTCACACTTAATCACGTGACAATACCCCCGAAGGAGTGTACGTGTTCCTCACACTTAATCACGTGACAATACCCCCGAAGAAGTGTACGTGTTCCTCACACTTAATCACGTGACAATACCCCCGAAGGAGTGTACGTGTTCCTCACACTTAATCACGTGACAATACCCCCGAAGGAGTGTACGTGTTCCTCACACTTAATCACGTGACAATACCCCCGAAGGAGTGTACGTGTTCCTCACACTTAATCACGTGACAATACCCCCGAAGAAGTGTACGTGTTCCTCACACTTAATCACTTGACAATACCCCCGAAGGAGTGTACGTGTTTCTCACACTTAATCACTTGACAATACCCCCGAAGGAGTGTACGCGTTCCTCACACTTAATCACGTGACAATACCCCCGAAGGAGTGTACGTGTTCCTCACACTTAATCACTTGACAATACCCCCGAAGGAGTGTACGTGTTCCTCACACTTAATCACTTGACAATACCCCCGAAGGAGTGTACGTGTTTCTCACACTTAATCACTTGACAATACCCCCGAAGGAGTGTACGCGTTCCTCACACTTAATCACGTGACAATACCCCCGAAGGAGTGTACGTGTTCCTCACACCTAATTTTTGGCTACTGCCGTTGTGGTTTATTTATATTTTATATTTTAGATTTTAGAGCTTTTAATCAGTCTCAATTTATGGTTACTTGAACACAATTGATAGAGTCGTATAATAAGCCTTCAAATATAATAATACTTCCATTAATTCATTAAGTAGATACCTTCGGAGATAAGGTTCATATATTGAGAGTCTTTTTATATTTCCGATTTGAATTGAACTTGTAGCTTATTTGAGAGCTACGTCGAATTGTAACTTGTTGCTATCGCAACTAAAATTCAGTTATAGTCGGGCAGTGTTGTTCCCCTTAGGACGCATCGAAACACGGCTTCTAGATCGCCGATGCGTGGCCTCGTTAATGCTCAATTGAAACTAATCAACACGGAACTATGTACCCTAGCTCATTTGAAGGTCCGTATATTTTGAAAGTTTTTCCGGACTAATGACCAACACCCTGGATCATTTGAGTAGACCCGTTATCGGTGTTTTATATTTTGAAAGTTTCACTGGACTAATGACCAAAGTCACTGTAGCTGAGTTTTACGGGTTAATTCAATTAACTGTTTCAATCCGTAAAATAAATTTGACTTGGAGGTATACTAAAACTTTGAGTTCTCAAGAGAAATGGATTCGACAAATTCAGCCAAATGAACGGAACTTTAGCAAAGAACCACCTATAATTAAAGAGTCTTGTTGGTCCGAGAGGCCAACACGATCCCCTTTTTCATAGAGTTTTTAATTTGATCATTTCACCGATTAGCCGATTCGCCAACCGAGGGCTTACTCGTACTATTCTAATGAAATATTTCTTCTTCTTCTTTGTCTTCTTCTTTTCTTCTATTAAATTTTCCTTGACATCCTTAAATTTTAAGACTCTGAATTTTAGAACCTAAGTCTCCTAATTATAATCATCATCTAACACCAAAGTTTTCCTCTCCTTCAAATAGGAGAATATTTACTATAATTTAGCCATTAGGGCTGATCAACATTTCTTAAAACTGTTAACATATATTAATACCTAATTCGCCATTAGGGCCGCTCACCACTATTACAAGTAGTATCTTTCTTTTCTTTTCTTTTCCTTCCTTTCCTTTCCTTTTCTTTGGTCTTCTTTCTTCGACGACAACGGGGGTCAGGTTACGCCCTGATTGCGATGCTTTTAAAGTCGGGTTACGTCCCGGTAACGAATTGCTACAATTATAATTCTTTCCATTCCCTCTTCTTTCTTCTTTCTTCTTCTTCTCAACGGGGGTCAGGTTACGCCCTGATTGCGATGCTTTTAAAGTCGGGTTACGTCCCGGTAACGAATTGCTACAATTATAATTCTTTCCATTCCCTCTTCTTTCTTTTTTCTTCTTCTTCTCAACGGGGGTTACGTCCCGATACGAAACAGATTCGGGTTACGTCCCGATAACGATGCGTCTACGGTCTTCGTAGGAAATGTTCCTGTGCAGAGAGGGGATACGGTTGCGATCCAGAATCTCAATAGACCGGCTAAACGAGAAGATCTACTAGCTTGTAATTTTCTATTCAAGAACTATTTAAGAACCTATGAAATAACTTGATCATAACCCCTGGATGGGCCATTTTGGTCAGTAGACTTCAATAAACTTAAAAGGCTCTGAAATGGTACTAAATTAATAGTCCTTTGACAAACTACTTTCAATTTATCGGATATTTAACTTATTTGCCTTTTAACTTATTCTTACTTATTAATTTAATTAATTTCTTACTTAACTTAATAAATGTTTAACTTATTGAAGTCTTATAATAACTTTCACAATTTAAACTGTATACATATATTTATTATTTAGGATCTCAGTTGGGCTGAGGTCGATCCTTTACTTATCTAACTTCCTCATCTTTAAACCTGCCCGTTTTCAGTTTTATATTTTAAGTTTCAAATTTTTCAATATTTACATTTTTCATCATTCTTTATCTAAATGCAGATTCACGCATAGTTATGCGATGAACTCATTTACCGTATTGCTTATCTTCGTATTTCATCATTTTACTGATTTCTTTTATTTTCTCTTCTGTCATTGTAATAGACAACCAGGTTCCATAAGCTTTACAGTATTGGTACTTTAAATAATAATCGAATTTGCATTCCATCTTAATAATTGATTTTTCGATTCTTGACAATTTCGTCCATGACTCGTGTTTATACTTTCCCCAACGTTCTAGGATAACCCAGTCCGATTCATTTGGGAATAATGACTTGTATTTTTCAAATGTTAGACATCTAGTTCTGACAAAACGAGCATAACATTTCTTTTGTCCTAATACTGCTGCATTATACGCTCCTCTCATGGTTAGGAGTTTTATCGCGAATTTTCCAATATTCGTTTGTATCCTGGTCCAATACATCTCGTTCTCCATTAGAATGTCAAAGAGATAATATGTTTCATAATTATAGAAGCTGAAGAGATCTGGATATCCACTTGTTGTGTCTCGCAAATATTGTGAGACGATTTTCCCCATCCTTTTGCAAATTAACCTGGCTTTGAGTAAATCACGTAGATTCAGCCTTGTCAAAATAATATGCCATAGTTCAATAGGTAGATTACAGTTGGAAACTGATTTGACTTCTTTAATGGATAGACTTTGAATTTCTTCTGTTTTTGAAGGTATCTCTTCTGATGTATTTTCCATTTGCTTTGCTGATCAATATGTGGTTAGAAAACTTTAATTAAAGTGATAATGGAAATGACGAAAGAGCCTGTTTCTATAATTTTGAACCCGTTGGTGAGTTGTGATATTACGTTTGACATATTACGTTTGATTTACATTTTACATTTTACATTTTCCTTTTTACGGTTTGATTACCCTATTAGAACTTCAATCGGGGGTCTATATTTTATAGCTTGAAGAAGATTGAAGTTTTTATTCTCTTCGGTTTTCAGCATTTTGCCTATTCTTTGGATCTTTTCCCGATTCGTAGTTATCGGTAGAGACGTACCATATTTATTCATATATAGTTTCGTTAAGAAAGTTTGGAACTTGCATTCCATTTTAATGCATGATTTTTCCAATGGGGAAATATCCGCCCAAGAATTCTTCTTATATTCCTTCCATCTTATGATCACTTCGTCGTCAGACGCTTTAGGAGTGAAGCTTCTTAGCCGGTCCTTGAAAGTATACAATGGTAGACACCGTGTTCTTAAAAACCTCAAGTATGGTTTTTCCACTTTATTGATGGCGCTGCAGTACACCCCTTTCATGATCATGTATTTCATGGCAAACTTTCCAATTTTAGTTTTCATATTCGTCCAACACATTGATCTCTAAGTATTTCCGTTAAATAGAACGTTTCGTAACTATAAAATTTAAAATTTTCCATTATTACATTGGTAGGGTTCCGCAAGTAATCCTTCACCAAACTACTGAATCGTTTATTTAATTCTCGTACTTTCAGTAATTGCTTGATGGTGAGGTAATTAAATATCATCACCCATATTTCTATTGGTATTTCTGTTTCTCGTTTCGTCTCTTCTTTGTGTAGTTGTTCCAAATTATCATCGT